TAGGAGTTCAGCCAAGCTGCGGCCCGTGACTGGCCGCGCTGAGCACAGTGGCTTTCAGCAGTGTTACTGTTTGGCCGGAACGCTCGAAAGCGTTACCTTAGTTGGTTCAAAAACACGGTTTCTTTTTGCACCCAATGCCGTGAGTTCTCTTGGTTGAACTCAGCTGCGGCAGTCATTCCAGCTGTGATGGCACTTGTCAGAATCAAACCAGCTGCGGAGCTGCAAGCCAAGAAGTTTCCACGCTTTCACTTGAACCTTCTCGTTATCCCCAACCTGGCTGCCAGGCAGGCGCCGCAAGAGCAAACTGAGCAGCGCATGTGCTTCGGAACTCAGTTTCAGCCCAAGCGTCGCCCTTCAGGAGCGCCCGCTGCTCTGCCGCAGGTGGATCGAGTTGCATGGGGTCTGGGGAATACTCAAGCGGGGCGGTTGGCAGGTACATGCTCAAGTCCTGACGGAACACTTCTTGGTTGGCAGTGTTGATGGCCCGCAAGTACACCTCAGCAAGCATCCAACACAAGCCAGCCGATTCTATGAGTTTAACAAGCGCCTTTCTCTCTTCCATGAAATCATAAACTGTTTGTGTCTTTTTTAGAGTCCGCCCTACTTTGGCGGCTTTAAGGAAAACCAAGAGCGATCCCCGACTAGCAAAGGCCTTTGGGTGGGTTTGCGTCAGATAGATAAAGAATGGGTTTCCCGCGCTGTTTGTCATCCAACCTTTTGACAGCAGGTTTGCTTGGAGCAGGGCCAGGTTCCAAAACAAAGGGGGCAAGTCAGCTGCGAAGATCGGGGGTTGCTGGTTTTTGTGGAAGAAGGTACACAGCCAGAACTAGGCCGTCTTTTGAAGGGTCAAGTCTGGATCTTGATGACACTTGCAGCGGCGTTGGTTGGGTCCGATGCTTCCCTTAGAGGAAGAGCCGGAGCAAGAAGAAAACCCAAACAACCCGAAGCCGGTTTGCCAAGGCTCCTTTCCGAGCACAGACTGGCGATATGTTTGGACACCGCCTGAGCCAAGCGGAGGCCCACGGCTTTCAAGAACACTGTCCCTTTGATGCAACACGGCAGCTTGCAGCGGGTGTGATCCCTAGGTCAGCCAGTTTTCCCCGGAGTATCGCAAAGAGGGTTTGCCAGAGCCGTTGCAAGAGTCAATTTATCCAGGAAGGGCTTTGCCGAAACTTTGGAACTTGGGTTTCCAGCTTTTGTAGAATGGGCAACACGTTCTGGCAACAGCTCGGCGAAGTCTGTGCCGGAAATGCTCAACTGCACTGCACCTACCCGAGGAGGCCAGTTCTAGGAAGTGGCTCCTACTATCCATGTTGGACAAAATTCGGAAAGACATTTTCACTGTGATTAGCAATGACCGCCCCGAGTACCTTTCAAAGCAGCTGGCAATTCTCAAGTGCTCAAGGCGCCCTGGCAGCATGCAAAATCCCTCCCAATCGTAGTCGTAAGCAACCGCGTTTTCATGTGTAAGGCGAGAGGAAACCATAAACACAAGTTGCAAGTTTCCTTGCTGCCAGGGAAAAAACAGAGCCCTACTTGGGCATCTGAACTGTCGAGCTCTTGGCCTTTGGCTTGGCCTTCGCAGGTGAACGGGCCGGCTCCGTGGCTGGCGCTGCCTTTGGCTTTGCTTCGGGCTTAGCCTTGTCAGCTGGATCAGTGGGAGTTGGGGCCGCTGTGGTCTCACTTGTTGGCTGGGACCCCTTGCTCTTCTCAGTGGGGGCTGCGGTGGACGCTTCGTCGCCAGACAAGCTGTCGGAAACACGAGGCTTCTTGGCGGCCGGCTCCTGGGCTGTGGAAAAGGAATGTTGGGGAAGCTATTGAAAACGCTGGCCTGACCTTTTGGCCATGATCATTCAATAGACCGTGGAGAGTGAAAACGGCTTTCCTTTCAATCTCTTAGAACAAAGGGGTTGAAACCAAAAGGGCTGGCGACCCCAAGAAAAATGTTTGCGGGTCAAGCGCTTCTTTTTGGGGTAAGGCTTCTTTGTGGCTCCTCCCGGCTACCCTGGCTCTCCCTCGCCTTTTGTGCGGAATTTAACAAAATGCTGGGCTTGCTCAACCCTAAGTTTTTTGCTTCCCGAGGGGGAAGGGGGGCGGAATCCGGCTTTTGGGGCACAGTTTTCTTTTTTGGGGAAGACCCGGACCTTACCCTGAGCTTATCCTGGGCTTATCCTTGGCTTATCCTTGGCTTATCCTGGGCTTATCCTGGGCTTATCCTGGGCTTATCCTGGGCTTATCCTGGGCTTATCCGTGGCTTATCCTAGGCTTATCCGAGGCTTATCCATAAGGTCCTAATAAGCGCTTAATAAGGTCTTATTAAGGCCTTATTAGGGCCTTATTCAAGGGTTATTAAGCTCATAATAAAAAAAAACAACAGGGGGAAAACACTTTCAATAGCCTAGACTCACTCTCCTGAGAAGCACCCAGTGCACCAAGTTGAAGGGTACTGGCTTCTGATGAGCCGCTTGGAGACTCTGGCAAAGACTCTTGGCTACCTGACACCTGTCAATTCGGTCAGAAACAAACACTGAAAACAAACCTTTTTGTCATTAGCAGGCCTGGGCAGTGTGGGACGCTTGGCTTTCGGTCTCTGCCTTGCTTACCGGAATAGGCTCGGCGAAGATCCGCTGCACCCACTGGGCTTTGCACTGGCCGCTTGGGCTGGCCACGAAAAACTCCCCGAAGTGCTTTGAACCCACCTTGGTGCGGGCAGCTGTTTGTTATGGGCAACTCAAGCAGCTGGCTATTTTGCTGAGGCGCGCGTTGTTCCAGATCCAGCTTCCAGTCGTCACACCCCCCTGACTCCCGCCGGGCAAGGACTCGCTTGAGGCTGTTCTTCTTATCCAGAAGCTCGTGGGCATCCATGGTGGGGTTGTAGGTGATTTTGAAATCCTGCGCGGCAGAAACCCTTGGTCAACATATGGCTGTGCTGGAAGGGTTTGTTTCAGTCCTTGCCATCGTCCTCTTCTTCTTCTTCGTCTGAAGATTCCGGGGGCGCAAGGGCTGGCTGGCGGAGCGGCTCTGGCTTGGGGGGCACGGTGGCCGGGATTCTTTGAGTGTACGCCAGGCCGCATTTTTCGCATGTGGGGTTTGGAAGTCCACACGCGCAGTGCCCCGGCAAGTAGTTCGTGGCAGGGCCACCTCAGGCCAGGGTAAAACCGAAAAACCCACTCCTAAACAAAAACCCTATACTGTTTCAACTGGGCTTCCTGGCCTGCCATACCCTGCATCAGCAGAGTGCCCGAGGTCCCGGAGTGGGCCATCGCTGCAGGAAGTTGCTGCTGGGCTTGCGCCTCCGGGGCAGCGCCTTGGCTCTGGTTCGCTGTTGGCTGGGGGGCTGGCTGCGGCTGGGTGGGCGGAGCTCCTGGGTTCAGCAAGCGGTGCTGCAGGGCCGAGGGAGAAAGAATGGTTTGGGCCAATTCTTTCTGCAGGATTTGCTGAGGCGACTGAGTGGTGTCGATGACGGGTGCCAGAACCAGGTCACAGTACACCGTGTGGGGGGCCACTCTGCCAATGCCTCAACTCAATTCATTTTTTGACCCTGAAGCCCACTTCCTTGAAGCACGATTTCAAGCAGAAGGGGGATCTAAGGAGGTGACTACCTGTAGCCACAATGTAGGCCCGGGCCAGGGAAGGATTGATCCGCAGAACGTGAGGCTTGTTCGCTTCTGACGGCTTGAGCTTGTCGGTCACATCCAGCTCGCTCAGTCCGTTGTCCAGGATCCATACCTTCTTGCCCGAGTTGTCCTCAGTGTCCCTCTGCTCAAGCCGATAGCAATCCTGACCGCTGTAGACAAGCCTGGTAAGCAGGTAGACTTCCTCTGCATTCATCAAATCCCCCGGCCTTCCTCTCCTCACATACTCCTGCAACAAGAGCTCTCCTCCCTTTTTGGGATCTTTCCTAGATTGTTCTTCAACTTCCAAACTTGATGATGCTTTGTTCCCTTTTTGCTGAACTCAGGAAAATTTGTCTTAGACCGAGGGACTCGTTCGGCTGGACGCGGGAGGTCTTGCTCTTCCCCCAGTACCACCACATCATGCTGTGAAGGATGTCAGGGTTGGAGATTGAGTCCAGGTAGGTATGGTTCGCGTAGTCACCCTGAGAGCTTACATGCAACTACGTTACGTGGTTTAAAGTTTGTCCAAGAAGCCCCACTCTTAGCCAGGAGGTCCTTGAGAATGTAGTCCTGTGAGCCCAATCGCAAGCTTGAATTCCCAGGGTTTGTGACTTTGTGAGTGACAACTGGGGCACTGACCACAACTTGGCCCCAATAGGCAGCGTAGATCAGATTCCCCTCACGCCTGCGGCCTGATTGAGAAGAGCCTCCCTGCCTACGGCGCGGTGGCTCCTGATGATAGGGGTAGGGAGGGAACTGTTGAAAGTCAGGCGGTGTCGCCCCCCACGCAACCCCACCGGCTGGGGCGGCTGGAGCAGGAGGGGGGCCCGTGTTGGCTTGCACTGGTGCCAAGGGTCCACCAGCCGGGATTGGCTGGCCAGCCTGCACAGCTTGCAAAGGAATCGACATGAGCAGGGCTTCCAGGTTGCAAGCGTCACTCAGTAGTATCTC